GGAAGAAAATATCGGTAATATCGGAAATATCGGTAGTCCGAAAACACGGAAATATCGATGGAAATATCGGGATAATATCGATATCGATAAAAATTACATGGAAACCACAGAAATTGTAAGAAAAACTTGGAAATTTTTATTGAAACTTTGCAGGATGTTTATTTAGTCAATTATCTATTAGTTTATCACAAAAAATTGGAAGGAAATGCATTGCATGATGGATTTAACTGATTTAAGTTGATTATATAGCGAGCTGGCAAACATTGTAAGTGTAGAAAATATGTAGTAATTAATGAAATAAGTTTAAACACACCATAATCATTTATATATAATGAATTAGTACAATATTTTACACTTTATACATTGTATGGTAAGATACATGAGTGACTTAGTATCACATAGAGTGAACGTGGTGAGTAGTTCAAAAGTAGATACTTGAAAAGAAAGTAATCAAATTTTAGTATGATGTAATTATTTGGACTTGATTTAAAATAGAAATTTATCATATATAATATATGTAACTGAAAAAAAAATAATCAAATTTTAATATGATGTAATTATTTGGACTTGATTTAAAATAGAAATTTATCATATAGAATATATGTAACTGAAAAAAAAATAATCAAATTTTAATATGATATAATTATTTGGACTTGATTTAAAATAGAAATTTATCATATAGAATATATGTAACTGAAAAAAAATTAATCAAATTTTAATATGATGTAATTATTTGGACTTGATTTCTCTTTATACATATATTTTTCTTCCTATTTTCTAGTATTTCAGTTTAGTAAGTGATTTTAAATTTTGGAGACGAAATTCTTTTAAGAGGGGTAGATTGTTACACCCACCCCAATTTAAATTGTATTTTCACTAAGTTTGAGTTTATCTTGCTTTTAAAATTATTTTTAGATCTTAATAGGTGTGCCCAGGGGGCCCACCTTGCTTTTGTGTCCCCGTCTCTCTTTTCTCTCACTCTCTCATCTCTACCGTGCTCTCTCTCTGCACTCTCTCCTTCTCCCCGTGAACCAACCCACACGCCACACCCTCACTTCCACACCACTTCAACGGCGACACCTCCTCATTGCTCTCTGCACTCTCTGCACTCTCTCCTTCTCCCCGTGAACAACCCTCATTCTCCCTCTTCGCCCTCTCTGCACTCTCTGCACTCTCTGCATCTCTGCACTCTCTCCTTCTCCCCGTGAACAACCCACACCCTCACTTCCACACCACATCAACGGCGACACCACCTCATCGCCATCTCCGTCTCTACGTCTCTGTCTCTGCCTCGGTCTCTCCGTCTCCGTCTCTCCGTCTCCGTCTCTGCCTCGGTCTCTCCGTCTCCGTCTCTCCCTCGGTCTCTCCGTCTCCATCTCTGCCTCGGTCTCTCCGTCTCCGTCTCTCCCTCGGTCTCTCCGTCTTCGTCTCTCCCTCGATCTGGTTTCTGGATCCTTCTTCTTCGATCTGGTTTCTGGATCCATCTTCTTCGATCTGGTTTCTGGATCCCTTTCTCACCTCCCGGCGGCGGCGACGACGACGAATATCGCGATAATATCGCTAATATCGGTAATATCGCGATATTAGCGATATTATCGCGATATTTTAAAGATATTTTATTTTTACTAAAAAAATATCACCGGGTCAAAAAAACGATATTATCGGCGATATTTCGCCGATAATATCGATATTTAATTCCTTGATCTTAACTAGTTCAATATCCATCGAGCAAGATCAACCAAAATATAATGTCTGGATATATATCACAACAATATGTCTTGATTAAAACGAGATAATCAAGACCACTATTTCTTCTAGAGAACTCAAAGTTCATCTTCCTCCCTATTTGTGATTTCAACCAAAATAAAATAGCGGAAGCATGCATCATGAAATCACAAATATACATATACAATAAGCATGCATCGATATATACATGATAAGATTAGTCGACAATAATCCAAATTAAAAATATTCATGCCTTTAATTCATTGTCAACACCATCATCAATTATATATAGATTCGTAAGCAAGTCCTTGGAGAAAATAACGATAGCCACATATCATTAATCTTATGAATTTCCAATAAGATGACAAAATAATTATTTGCTTTCCAATTCATAATAGAATATATATTTTGTAAATGGCTAGAAGTTGATTGTCACAAGACTCATTATAGGCAGTCAATAAAACATCTACCTTATATATTCATCTGTTCATATATATTTTCTTGTATGCATGCATCAATATGCAGAGAAACTTATGCAAGTTCCATTTGATATAGATAAAACCGCATGCCCATAATTACAACGTCTATGCACGAATGCTATCTCCATATATATACAGATTTCATTCAAATATGCTATTATGTATAAATCACAAAGCAATTGGCATCCACTTTATATATGCATTTATTTTTGTTGCTTTATAATACCTCCTGACTTGCATATGATATGCAGTCAAATCCATTCCAACCCAAACTTGATATAAATCAAACCAATTGAAAATCATGAATTGACACTAAGATGTGCATGTGTAGCTCCCCACAATTTAAATGTATCGAGATTCATACATGAGAAAATGCATACACATTGACTCTTTAATGAAAAATAGAAGAGTATATCTAGACATACACTAATTTATTTATGCAGCAAAGGATGATTCCAGACATCTCACATAAATCACAAGTTGGCATCTATAGGGATTTCGAGTTTAATCATGCCTTCACAACATATATAAATAAACAAGCATACTCGAAATAGCAAAAGCCCTAATTCATTATGCTCCAACTCATCGAACTATAATCACGCATATAGGAGAACAATTAATCATGCATGAAACAGTGAACTGAACTGAGTTACCTGAATGCATCATTGGACCCGTGTTCGTCCACCGATCGATTCACCCCGATTGCAATTCCTCGGTTCCAAATCAACGAAACAAATTATCCATAAATGCTCGAGACCCATCCATGCGGATTGCCATCACTCCCAATTCCCATGGACCTCATACCATTGCAGATTATCGAAGTAAATCGCCATTGTTACAGATGCGCCGAACCAAAATCATCGCCAAAGCGATGGCCAGAATCCCATCGACACAAATTCACATAAAAAAAAAAAAAACAAACCATGAACATTAAAATCTCTTAGACAAACAAAACTTTTAATGTCATCAAACCAAGATTTCATCTTTCTTTTATCTTACTAATATTTTGTCTGTACAAGGCAAATTTTTTGTGCACATCTTTATAATCAGATTCATTAATTCAAAACGATAAGACCCACAAAAAGTCACGGATTATTGATAACAATAATAGCATATGTACTCACATTCCATAACCACCCAATGAATCCTTGATTAATTCTTATAAAAAATCATCATGGAATCCAACACACGGCAGAAAAATTAATAACTGTACAAGCTTTAATAGATTAATTCTATCAAATTGAGTTCAACATGTAGTCATCATTCGTTTGGCATCTACCTCAAATATGACAAAACCTGTATTGTGGCAAACATGATATGCATAACAAACTCAATTCAAACCCTAAATATTTTCTCACAAACTAAGCTTGACGGCTGCTATTTTACCATTACATGTTGCTGCTCCTTTACAGATTTGAACTCATGTTTGTGTCTTGTGGCTCTGGTACCACATGTAAGAAATTTGTAAACAAACAAACACCAAGACCAAAACATGAACCACAAACAAAAGGAAACCAACCCAGTTATGTGCTCATAAATAACCAGAAAGGAAAACATACCCGCAGCTGCACCAGAACTCGTAGCCATTGCAGCAAACTTTCAGTGATCCTTCTCTTATCTTGCAGATTGTCAAGAGCTCGACTCACAGATAGGTTATGGTCCAATATGAGCGTTAGTTCTGTGAGAAGAGAGGTCACTATATATATACATATAGACTTCACCAAAGTAGATCAGGATTTCCTATCAAAATCCTCATCGGAAACAAACACTTGTTTCCTGATGCTAACCAAAATCCTTTTCAGTCAAGGATCAGCATTCCTTTCATCAATAGGACTTTCTATCCAAATTGAATACCTATAACCAGTCCTAAAACTTCTCTATCTCATACGCATATTCTTACATTACAATCAACTTACAATACCAGAACGAAGCTATAGCGTTACAAATATCTATCGTCCTCGTCATCCATGTTAGATGAGCTAGACTGTGGATCTTAGAATTAACAAAATGCAATAGATGGCTAGTTTGGAGCTAATAGTTTGTGTAGATTCATATGGTTTGGCTGGCTGGCATCATGTGGTTTGGTTTTCCAGGCATATTTCACCGAATCTTCAACTTCATCCTTATACTGATTACTCTATGCTGCAAAATCATATCAGAAAAAGAAAGAAAAAGGGAAAAATATGTTAGAAAAGGCCGGCCCATATGTGAAGTAGAAGAGTTTGAACTCGAAACATGACTTCATCAAAGAAAGATGAGATAATGATCTATGTTAGAAAATACCGGCTCATATATGAAAAGAGAAGAGTTTGAACTCGAAACATGACATCATAAAAAAAAAGATGAGATTAATGATCTATGTTAAAAATGGTCGGCCCATATATGAAGAATGATCTACTTTAGATAATCAGGGAGCTTAAGGGGAGGGATCCCCATTTTTTCAAAAAAAATGGGGACACGCTCCCTACCGTTAGATTGACTTTAATGAAATTGTGTGGTTGAGATTAAAACACAGGCCATAGAATCTCAACCACAGGATTTCATTTAATTCAAATCCAACGGTGGGGAGCGTGTCCCCATTTTTTTGAAAAAATGGGGATCCCTCCCATTAAGCAATTCCTTAGATAATTTGCACAAAAAATATGTAATTCATGAGAATAGTTTGAACTCGAAATGCAATTTCATTTATTGGCTTGATTATTTTATGCATCTAAAGTCAATTTTTGTTTGCTTATGATCTTGTTTTTTTCTAGTGACTTAAATCTTTATTTATTATGATTGTTCATCATTTGCATGATTGGTCAATTTCTAATTACACCCACCGCCCACCCTGCCTGCTTACTTTTCAAGGCCTACAAATACGAAAACAATTTTAAAATTAAATTAAAAAAAAAATCCCAAATTTGTTAATCATCCTTGCACCCTTCAAAGTCCACCGTTTCACTTCAATTCATAAGAACCCTAGAATTCGAATCTCAAATTCCCCATCCAATCGATGCCTGCATTGTTTCAGTCCGATGGCGATCTTCCCGTACTGCTAAATTTCAGGTCAGCCCCCTTATTTGATCTCATAAAAATTCAATCTTTGCTCGAAATTTGTTAATTTGTTGATTGAATCGCGTTCCTTTTGATGAGAAATTTGTATTCTTTAATCACATTTTTAGGGTTATGATTATATATCATGTATTATGTATTAAATTTATTAATTGCATGCTTGATTTTTATTTGTTTATTTAATTTTCTGGGAAGAAATAAACCTTCTTTTCTATGGACGCCAAGTTATATAATTAGGGAAATTGAAAGCTGGAGCTGAAGTTGATGCTATACATAGTAATTAAGTTGGAATTTTATGCTAAGTATATATAATTATCATGATGGGTTATTCATTTAAGAAAATTCAAGGGTTTTTTTTTTTTTTTTTTTTTTTTCTATAAATAAAAACAGTGGGATTTTGTTTTCATAAGTCAAGTAATTAGGCCATGTTATATGTTAGGCTGGTTGCAAGAGCTTGGAATTGTAGTACCTATCAACGAAATCAGTAATAATCGTTTGTTATGCTCCTATTGTTTCTTGAATCTTAATTTGTATATGGTATATCCATGATTAGCATTTTGCTTTTTTGAATCCTCGAAATTTCTGCCGATGTTGTTGCATGGATCTTGGTACTTTAAGCTCTATATATTTCATACTTGTGCATATGGATGTTTTATGGAAAGTTCTTAGAGCAGTTTGGAATGTCAAATTATTATTTTTAGTACTGGAACAAGATTTTAATTTCCATAGAACTAGTAACAACAACTTGACATGTAATGCAGGTTCCTAACCAGTGTACTTTTCATCTATTTGTTCTAATAGGTTTTTTCTTAGTTCCGTTTGAAATGGTCTGTTGGAGCTATAGCACTGGCAATGACTTTTTCTTTGGACTCCTGACTCGACATTCTTCGCAATGCAATTAGTATCAAATGATAGTCATAAGGAAGATATTACAGAATGTGAACCCATCTTATGTCAGTCTGACATTTCACAGAGACCCACAGAATCTTCATCCTCATGTGAAATTACAGATGTGCTAGGTGATTTTCCTGCTACTGATGAAGAGTCACAAATTCTTGACGTCAATGAAAATTCTAAGTTGGTGAGCCCAGAGCAACCACAGTGCCGTATTTGCCTTGATGCTGAAGAAGGTTCTTCTATATTTCCTGGCATTTCTTTGTGTATCTTCAGTCTACTGTCACCATTAGTTTTTCGTGAAAAGGTTCAAATGATGTAGAGGATACACGAGTAACTTGCTGGTGAAAGAAATCATAGTTATGTACCTTTTCGATCATTATTTGGTGGCTAGGAAATTCAAATATCTTAGCGTTGTTTATTTGTCTCTCAGGGGAAGACTTAATTGCTCCATGCCATTGCAGAGGTACTCAGAAGTATGTCCATAGATCATGTCTTGATAACTGGAGGTCAACAAAGGTCAACATTTTCTTCATCCCTGCTCTTTCCTCATGATTTGCAGATGCTTTTTTATATATTCATTTTAGAATAATGCAAATGCACATAATTGTGTTGAAATTCTTGTGATGTTTGTCTAATTTGGCACAAGTAGTGAATTAAAGCATTTTTTATTTATTTCTTTAAAGACTATGTTCCTTTTGTAGAGGCTTGGTATTAATTATTCATATATTTATTTCTTCAGGAGGGCTTTGCTTTTGCTCATTGTACAGAATGCAGGGCAGTGTTCATATTACGAGCGAATGTCCCTCCCGATCGCTGGTGGTTGAGATTGAAATTCAGTTCCTTGTTGCTAGAGATCATGCATTCATTTTCATCATCGTGCAACTGGTATGTTTACAAAAACTAATGTGATTCATATCATTTTACCAAATAGGTATTTCTCCCCAAATAAAAGAACTTAGGCATTTTCCCTTAAATTTTATTCAACTTTGCACAGGCCACAGAAGAATTAACTAGAAACAGAAAGTACTGTTTGATAGATTAGCAATAGTCAGTTTTAGCACACGTTTGCAAGGTTCTGTTATGTTTCGTAAAGAAGGGTACTGTTAGAAATGATCCTAATGGTAATTGAAATTTAAATGTTCGTACTATTGGTAACTCTAAACATTACTGTTAGTTGTTCAGTTACTTCAAACAAGTGACAAACTCTTATGGAAGAAGAAGAGATAAGACTTCCCCGTCAGTTTGTCATTCCTGAAATTTTGTGAATATTTTCTTTTTTCATCAGATTGTGGCATTCTTGGGAGTGATGGTGTACAAATTTTATGGAGATGAACTAAGGGAGATGTTTGGTTATGAGGAGCACCCGTATGGGTTTTATACTATGGCTGGTATGCTAACTTCTTGCTGCCCTCTGAACTCCCTATATTATATCTATGTTCTTCGTGTAAGACATGCTGATTACACTAACTGCAATCTAATTGCATGTATTATTTTGTTGCAGTTTTAGCTATTGTTTTGGTGGGTTTGCTTTATGGCTTCTTCATAGCCATAATATGTGGACAGAGAATCAATGAACGGCATTACCATGTACTTGCCAAACAAGAATTAACAAAGGTCTAGTTCTTGATACTTTGAACGTACAATGGAACTCAAACTATTCATACTGAATCTTACTGGCATTGAGGTCTAAAATTTATATTCCAAGTTATGAGTTCTTATGTTCAGTTGTATCTAACTAAGTTATATCGTGGATTATGCTCTACACACAACGTGATGTTTCATAGACATAATATGTGGACAGAGAATTACTGTAATTATTCCAACTGAAAGTTAACTGGTACCTTTGTCCATTTTGTGATGCCAGGAATATGTTGTAGAAGACCGAGAAGATAATAAGAACGCCCCTGAGCTAGACCCGAGCCATGTGACAGAGCTAAGAATGTTGGGCCTTTATTAGTTGGAAGTCTTCATTCCCTAAATGGTCTCGTCTTGTAAGCAATTTTACCTTCTGCAACTGCCTTTCCATATTGTGTTTTTTTTTACTTTTAAAAATTCGTTTTTCCTGCTTTCCATGTCTCGACGAAACCTGCCACTTGGATTCTGATTGTTTTGTATTTTTATCCGTTTGCGTGGGTTGATCTTTTGCGCTTATGTGCACATGCATATTTGTTTGTATTAACCAGTATTTAAAAATGACGCAAAATAATGCAAAACTAATAAATCCAGGTTTCTCTATCTATGCACTATTATACTTATCATTTCGGTCTTGATAGCTCTGAGTTTGTTGGTTTGTTGTTCCCTCGCATGTTCTTGTTACATAGAATCTGGGACTTCAAGTATTTGATGGATGCATTTTCTGGATATATCTTGACAAGTTTTTGTGTTTTTTTAGTCTCTCATTTTCACTTTTATTCTCTTCAGGTTTCCTTATGGCTTGTAATTTTCCAAGTGGAAGAGTGAAACCTCATTTTCCTGTCAGATTCTTAATTAGCCGATTACCACCTTCTTGACTCCTGCAAGTTTTGCCTACACTATTTTATGCTTCCTTAAATCCAAGCCCAACAGTATCCCACATGCTTTCTTCACGGTCCTGCTTTGCTCTGGTTGTGTCTTTCAGATGCGGAATTTGGATTTCTAACTCAGCGATGGACCTGAAAAACATTTTCTCCTCACCAGGTACATGGAACTGATCAACGAGCATTGTCTTTGCTGTCAAACGGAACAGCAATTACACAAGTGGTTTTTTCCAAAAATTAATATACGTGTATCTTCATTTACTTGTGAATTATTCTTAGTCATCAGCATGTATTTACAAATAAGTACTTACGATTTTCAAGCAGAAAACTGATGTTTATACTTTTTTCTGCATTCATTGTGCGTCTCTTTTTTTCTTTTCCTCTTGTTCATCCTGGTTGGACAGTGTTGTAATTCAATTTCTAGTGTTATATAAAATTCTTCTCTTTGCACTTTCCAGCTTTCCTATGATACAAATCGTGATTCATGATTCGTTAAATTATCAGCTGGAATTTCAAATGTGAAAGAAAGTGTTCTAAATGTTCTTGTAAATTCTTTCTCCTGTTGAACGATTTATATCTTTATGCAGTAGAATCCGGTTTCATGGATCGCTCGGGTCGATAGATCAAAAGAAGATATAACAATTTATCAGAGAGAGAGGGAGAGAGTAGTTTCAATGAGACTATAAGCTGTTATTCTTATTTTAGTGAGATCTAAGTCTCCAAAAGCTAAGAAAAATGGCACCCAAGGTAAAAAGAAAAACCCTAGACCCTGCATGTCTGTGAATAACTGAAAACAAGATCAACTCCCTACTAGTGCTTTGAACCAAATGCATTAGGAGGAGCAGCATTCTGTTGAGCACAGTTGTGCTTAAGCAATGCGGAAACAGAAGGAAATAACGGCAACAATTTCGGCAAGCATTTCTCATCAACTTCGACGATGGCCTTGCAACAAGCAGGGCTTAGCGCAAATTTACCGGTAAAGATTGTGGTAATAATTTCCTGTGCACACCCTGGAATACCCTGAAGTGAAGACCAACACTTTGCTATCTCAGCCGGGTCCACTGGCGGTCGTAGGCCAGGAATTCCTGGTGGCAGCAGGCCTGGGATCCCTGGCGGCAACAGGCCTGGGATTCCAGGTGGCAGCAGGCCTGGGATCCCTGGCGGCAATGAGCTTGGGATCCTAGGTGGCAGTAGGCCTGGGATATTGGGAAAGTTCGGGAGTAGCGGTGGGGGTGGCACGTGCGCAAATCCGGTTGCAGCGCATGTTGCCATAATTAGCAGCAGCGAAAACATTGCCTGAACTTCTCTAGACATCGTTGTCGGAAGAACTTGGCACTCACGTATGTGCTATATCAGTATCAGAAAAAAGGTTAACTAGATTAGCTGTGTCGATGTTGGAGAAGAGATTTTAGGATTTATACAGTGCTCAGGTGAGTAAGTTACAATGGAATTAAATTTTTTATTTAGTCTAACTGCAGTTTTTCATCTTTAAGAGCATTACTAGAGCAGTTAAACGTTATAAGTGTTAATTATAGCAGCAACTAAGTTACAGAAAATCTGTTCTTCAAGATCGTAAATCTGTTCTTCGTTCTTCATTTTTCCTTTTAATCTTGGTAACTTGGCGCTGGCAGTTGAAAATTACTTACTGCCAGTAGAATAAAAGTTACACAGTCAATATGTATTGTATAAAAATCTACCAAAGCTTGAGAATATTTTAAATTTTGTCATAGATTTAAAAGAGTTAGGAAGTTACTTAACACTTTGACCAAGCAATTTCAAATGAAGGCAGCTTTTTCTTTCTGAGGCTTTCTGGGAAAGCAGCTTTTGCTTTGACTTTCGAATCTCAAAATATATTCACATTCAAATGAAATCATCCGGTAGTTGCTGAGATTGGCTGCCTGCAGAAGCAACCACAACAGCAGCTAATTACTTGTTCAAATGTATATTCACTCCACTAGCTCGTTTCGCTCCTTTGTTTATTGTGCGAGTCACTTTCACACATATATTTTCATCTATGTAAATTAGATCGACCAAACATATTATTTTTCTTTGTTTAGAAGGTTCGGTTCAGTTTTATCTGGTGCCGGAAAAACTGTAGTCATGCTATCGTTTACTTGCGATGCAATTGCACGCAACTTGTTAAGTATTGGATAGTGCTAGCCACACATCCATTTTTACTTGTCACACACCTCTCTCAATTTTCGACCATCAGATTGGATGAAATGAAGAAGATCAGTGACAAAAAATTAACAAGGGTGCGTGAGAGGTAAAAATGAGTGTGAATAGCAACTTCCTAACCATTTTGTCGGAAAAATGATCTTGGTTCTTGTGGATAGCATGTCAAGAGGAATGCTTAGAGGACTATCAAAAGTGGGACTCTCTATGTATTCTCCGTCACTTCATGTTTTAGGCACAATGTTTTATAATGTTGGTATGGAAATTGACATTAAATTGTGAGGTGACAAAAACTCCATGGATGAGAGTTTCCTGGGCATTTCTCACAAGTCAATAATTGGATTTTTTAAATTTGAGTCATTTTCTAGGAAATTTCATGGACAAATAAATTACTACAAAGAAAAATTACTAAAATCCGATTGCTTTGTCACAAACAATTCAAAATCCAGTCGCTGTTGCTTGTTCAGTTCTGTTACTTGCACTAAAAGGCATCTGAATTTTTTTTGAATATTTATATGTTGCCCCTCACTTATATAACTCCATACAATTTGGAATAGAGAATCAGGTGAGGAAAAAAGGATAATTGAAACAGTAAAGAGAGAGTCGATGGCAGAGAGTGCAGTAAAGTTTCTGCTCGACAAGGTTGCACCATTTTTCGAAAATGATCTGCAACTTTTGGGAGGGTTTAGGGAAGAAATCGTGTATCTGAGAGGGGAACTGGAGCGCTTGACTGCGTTTCTGAGGGTTGCTGATGCTTTTGAAGAGAGCGATGAGGAAGTCAAAGTATGGGTGAAGCAAGTAAGAGACATTGCTCATGATAGCGAAGATGTTCTGGACGAATTTACACTTCTCCAGGCACATGATCATGGTTATACAGCTCCATCCATAAGTTTTCGTGTTGTATTAAGAACATGAAATCTCAATACCGAATTGCTGCTGAGTTACAAGGCATCAACTCGAGAATCAGAAACATCTCGGAGGTTCATAGGAGGCTCAGTCACAAGTTTAAAATGGCTGAACAAGGTTCAGGCTCTTCAACTGCAGATCAAATGTGGGGGGACCATCGTGGTGATGCTCTACTACTAGAGAAAACTGATATAGTTGGCATTGTCAAGCCTATAAAGCAGATGGTAGGGTGGCTTGTTAGCGGTGGTTCTGGACGACAAGTAGTTTCTGTGGCTGGCATGGGAGGACTGGGGAAGACAACCTTGGCGAAGCAAGTCTATGATGCAGCGGAAGTGAAGAAGCATTTCAAAGTAAGCGCTTGGGTCACAGTTACCCAGTCTTTGAGACTCAGGGAACTCCTCAAAGACATGATTCAACAACTCCACAAAGCCATCCGAAGGCCAGTTCCGCAAGGAACAAACAATATGAACAACAATCAATTGAAAACAATGATCAAGGCCTTCCTGCAGAAAAGGAGGTATCTAATTGTTCTCGACGATGTGTGGGACAGGGACGGATGGGCCTCTCTGAAGTATGCCTTGCCTAACAATACTTGTGGCAGTCGAGTCATACTAACTACTCGAAAAGCTGATGTAGCCTCGACAACCAGCAAAGAATCTGGAGGTAGAGTCTTTAATTTGGAGCCCTTGCCGCAGTTGGAGTCATGGGAGCTTTTATGCAAGAAGACATTCCAGGGGAACTCATGCCCTCCTTATTTAGAGGAAATCGGTAAGTCTATCTTAAGAAAGTGTGAGGGGCTGCCCCTTGCCATTGTGGCAGTCAGCGGTGTTTTGGCTACCAAAGACAAGCGCAGGATTGACGAGTGGGATATGGTTGGCCATAGCCTTGGTGCTGAAATGGAGGGCAATGACAAACTCAAGGACTTGAAAAAAGTACTTTCACTCAGCTTTAATGACTTACCTTACTATCTCAAGTCTTGCTTCTTGTACCTGAGCATCTTTCCCGAGGATCATCTAATCGAGCATATGAGACTTGTTCGGTTATGGATGGCAGAGGGTTTTATCGAAGAAACACAAGGCAAAACACTAGAAGATGTTGCAGAGGACTACCTCAATGAACTGTTGAATAGAAGCATGATTCAAGTAGCAGAGACAACAACCGATGGAAGGGTCAAAAGCTTTCGTGTTCATGATCTTCTCCGTGAGATTATCACCTCCAAGATAAGAGATCAGAACTTTGCCACAATAGCTAAAGAGCAAAACATGCCATGGCCTGATAAAGTCCGACGCCTGTCAATGCATACCTCTTTGCAATACATACAGAAAAACAGGTCCGCTTCTCAACTACGTTCTCTGTTTATGTTCGGAGTTACTGAGAAGCCACTACTGCAAACAATTTTTCCTGGAGGTTTTAGGCTTCTTAGTGTGTTGGATTTGCAAAGCGCACCTCTCAATGTTTTTCCAGTTGAAGCAGTCAACCTTTTCTTCTTGAAGTATCTAAGCTTGAAAGGTACCAGGGTGAAAACCATTCCAAAATTTATAGGGAAGCTTCAGAACTTGGAGACTTTGGATCTGAAGCATTCTCTGGTCACTGAGCTCCCAGTTGAAATTCTGAAGCTTCAACATCTGCGTCATCTTTTAGTATATCGTTATGAATTTGTACCTTACGGAGATTTTCACTCAAAATATGGCCACTCCAAATATGGCTTTAAGGTGCTTGCAAAAATAGGGGCTTTAACTTGCCTTCAAAAGCTTTGTTTCATCGAGGCAAACCAAGATGGAGGTGCCATATTAAGGGAGCTGGGGAAACTAATTCAGCTGAGACGGTTAGGAATTGTACATTTGAGGAAACAAGACGGAAAAGCTCTTTGTTTATCCATTGACAAGCTGACCAAACTTTGCGCGTTGTCCATAACTTCTGTAGAAGAGGATGAGATCATTGATCTGCAGCACATTTCTTCTCCTCCTCTACTGCTTCAGCGCCTATACTTGCGAGGACGTTTGGAGACATTGCCTCACTGGATACCTTCTCTGCACAGCCTTGTCAGGTTATATCTGAAATGGAGTAGGTTAAAGGACAATCCACTTGTATTCATTCAGCATCTGCCCAACCTAGTACATCTCGAATTATCTCAGGTGTTTGAAGGAGACACATTGTGTTTCGGAGCTGGTGGATATAAGAAGCTCAAACATTTAGGCATTGATAAATTTGATGAGCTTAGATGTATAGAGGTGCAGGAGGGAGCAATGCCGTTCATTGAAAAGCTAAGTATCCAGCGCTGTAAATCGTTAGAGAAGGTGCCATCCGGGATTGAACACCTGAACAAGCTGAAGGTGCTTGAATTCTTTGATATGCCGGAAACGTTAATCAAGACACTGAGTCCACATGAACAAGGCAATGATTATTGGAAGGTTGCGCATATCCCGGAAGTTTATTTCACCTACTTGAGGGAGTCTGGGTGGGAGGTCTACACTTTAGAGGGTTTTAATGAAGGAGAAAACTTTCCTCAAATCACTTCTCTCATCAAGAGCCACGAACTTGAAAGCCGATGGAAGTAATGTTTTCACTGCACTTGATCAGTATGATATTATTAAGGAGATGCTCCATACATTGCAAATTACTGTAAATACTCTTGTAGATAGTTGCAAATACTCTTGTAAATAATCTTGTTCAGTTTGATATTCATGTATATATTATATATGTTGATGTCTTGGATTACTCAAGATGTAGAACAAGCAACCAGAATTTGGAATTTCGAAAGGGATTCCAAGAGAGAACAAGAGTTAGGTTTCAAAGTACGAGAAATAGAGGAACTTTAGAACCAAAAGACACAAATGGTTTCAAATTGGTTTAGAAGATGTCAATGACAACTTCTACTATGTTATGAGAGGCTGGAAAAGTTCTTTCTATACCATGAACACGTATAAAGCCCTTCTCACACATATCCAACGTCTCACATACTAGTCACTATAATGCATGACCCAATTTTACGTTTTTCGAATTTTAGATTCTACATAATTTGTGTATACATTAGATCCATAATTGTTGAATTATGTGAATTGATATTGCCAAGAATTGCATCATATATCTTCTCATGTGACACGCTCGACCCTGATATTCTGCAAACACCAGGGTAGACACGTGTTGGCTGACACCCGAAGGTGACGAAACCATACAAACATGTATGAGAACAATGAATATAAATAAAATAATTGCAATTTAATTATAATGAATATGTATTTAAGGAACGTGTTCAGAGCATATAACTAATCTAGTACACTAAAAAGAAATAATATAAAATTGAATGAACAAGGGAATGGGTCCTACATTGAGAGAACTCGAAGATGCCAATGGGGGAGTGCCTTCATGACGAGATTGT